TATCCGTCTTTCTGCTAAACAGGATGGATTGAACTTAAGTTTCCTAATTGTGAAACGTTTAAACTCGAATATACCAACAGAATCATTTTCTTATTTCTACTAATGATTCTAACAAAAATTCAAAATATATAAATACAGAACCCGTCGTAAAATAAATTAGTAGTTTTCGAAAATTCTCTGTAAGAAAGAAGGGGATGTTTTTTTTTCTGTTTTAAGAAAAGGAAAATATTATTTCCCGAATCGTTGTACATTGCAATTTGAATTAGGAATTCTGTGTCCAACTCTAAGCAGCCCTTAACTACATATGCATCTGATCATATATGTATTATCTATTCCAACAAATAATACAGAAGAAGGAGGTTTTTCAATGAGAGATCTAAAAACATATCTCTCTGTGGCACCAGTACTAAGTACGCTATGGTTCGGGGCTTTAGCAGGTCTATTGATAGAGATTAATCATTTTTTTCCCGGATGCGTTGACAAACCTTCTTCTTATACACTTCACAATCGTATTCTACTCAAAAATCCGTAAACAAAATCTCTCTCTTCTTTACAAATCATTTTTTGAACAACGAAATCCATAACATAAAAGGGGGTTAAATGCTAAAAAACCGATTCTAATTCTATATATTCTTTCTTATTTTTATGCCTTTATCTCAGCGAAAAAGAAATTTTTAAATCAAAAATGAATATTTGTGAACAATGTGGATGTCATTTGAAAATGAGTTGTTCGGATAGAATTGAACTTTTGATCGATCCGGGTACTTGGGATCCTATGGATGAAGACATGGTCGTGACCTTCTCTTGAATTCTCAAAAAAACTTCTGTAGCTCCATCCCCGCAGGGGCAGAGAACCCGTCGCTGTCTCGGCTGTGCTACCGGAGGCTCTGGGGAAGTCGGAATAATTCCGTAACTATTCCAAAAATGGAAAGTTCGACACAATTGGGATTTTTTTTGGAAATTGGAAGCAGTTACTAATTCATGATCTGGCATGTACAGAATGAAAACTTCATTCTCGATTCTACGAGAATTTTTATGAAAGCCTTTAAAATAGAAAGAAGGGCTCTTTGAACGACTCCGGTGCTATAGAATCTCTTTCCAGAAGAGGGCTAGTCTAAAGGCATTGCCTTATGAAAGAAAGGAAGGATAAGAGGAGGGGAGCGAAGAGAGTAGGCTGTACGTGACAGACTCTGCTCCTATTTCAAATGCATCGTCATTAGAAATCTAGTAGTAGTATTTTTTTTATTTTGGAATTATTTCAATTGAATTTATTTCGATTATTTTAGTTTAGATTATTTAGTATTTCGAATTTTATTTAGAATTTGCTTTTTTTATTTATAAATAAAAAAAAGTAATAAATACAAAAAATAAAAATAATAAGGAAGAGTAGGATTTTTGCAGGGAATGATTGGTCCGTCAGAAAAGGAAAAAGGTGTGAAATTCGATTTCTTTCACTTTCATTTGATTTATTGTTAAGACCCTAGACCTAACAAGATTAAGTGAATACATAAAATTGTGGTCATTTTATTTCGATCTTTCTAGACATAACCAAAGGCTTTCGAGATGGTTCGATCGATAGCAAAGATAGGGAAAGAGCAGACTTCCAACAAGCATTAGCTCTCCCTGAAAAGGAGGTGATCCAGCCACACCTTCCAGTACGGCTACCATGTTAGGACTTCACTCCTGTCACTAGCCCTGACTCGGGCATCCCTTTCAGGTGCAGTTGACGTACAATTTAGGTTATTTATAAGGACTAAATGTACTGATGAAAGGGATAACTTAGGAAAGAATAGCTAAGGGTAATCCATACCTCGACTTGTTTGTTGACACAGACAAAGTCAGGGAAAACCTCTGAAATTATTTCAATATTGAACCTTGGACATATAAGAGTTCCGAATCGAATCTCTTTAGAAAGAAGATCTTTTGTCTCATGGTAGCCTGCTCCAGTCCCCTTACGAAATTTTCGTTATTGGATTAGCCATACACTTCACATGTTTCTAGTGATTCACATGGCATCATCAAATGATACAAGTCTTGGATAAGAATCTACAACGCACTAGAACGCCCTTGTTGACGATCCTTTACTCCGACAGCATCTAGGGTTCCTCGAACAATGTGATATCTCACACCGGGTAAATCCTTAACCCTTCCTTATTTTCTTTTTTTATAATTCACAATTAAAATTATAGCCTGCTGTAAGGTGAGAGTGGAAAAGTAAGCCTATTTATTTCGGGCTTTAAAACCAGTAGTTCTAGCGGTCGACTCGGTTCTTTCAAATTGTTTCTATTAATTGAGAAAGAGTTTCGGAAATATCCCCATTCATAGGTCTCTATGAATTGAAAGGTCTGAATGATCAACTCTGCAATCAGTTGTTAGAATCAATAGGTCTTCAAATTGTTCATTTGAAAAAATTGAAACCCTTCTTATTGGACGATCATGATACTTCCAAAAAATCCCCGAAACGATTCATGTATATATTTTACAGAAATGTGAAATCAAAGTAGGCGATAAAGTAGCTGGAAGATCAAATCCAGCTCGGCCTAATAATTCGCCAATCCGTCATGAGATGATATAACCCTGCTACGGGTCAAGCTCTAGAGGGTATCGCGAGACAGCCTGAGGCAGAGGGACAAATACAAAACTCCATGGACATGCAGAAGAGAAATGCTATCCCCACTCGGACCAAGACAGATCGTAATCGACCGAACACTACTTGAAAACGGCTCTTCTGCTCCGAAACGGACTGTTCCAAATGTTCCTGGAAATTCTTGCTCCCATTGGACCATTTGTATCTATATGCATCAGGATCCCGATTCATGGATCTCTCGGTGTGAATTGTTAATCAACCCATTCGTACACTCTATGCGATCGAATATTTCTTACACACATGAGTTTTATACAAGGTATCGGCTGAGTTCTTTGAATATATTTATCCATTATCTGATAAAATTTCTCATAAACCTGTTGAAACAAATAATGAAATTACCTCTAATGAGGAACTGAGAAGGAGCAAAAGGCCTGGGAAAGAATATTTTTCTTATGGAAATGATTTTCAAACTTTTCTTGTCGATAATGAACCATCAAATTATTTTGAAGCTATATCTTCTTCAGATGCTAAATATTGGAAAGAGGCAATAAAAGTTGAAATTGATTCCATTATGAAAAATAATACATGGATTTTAACTAACTTACCTCCTGGTGCAAAACCTATTGGTTGTAAATGAATTTTCAAAAAGAAGTTTAATCCTGATGGATCTTTAGATAAATATAAAGCTCGGTTAGTAGCAAAAGGATTTTCTCAAAAACAAAATATAGATTATTTTGATACATTTGCACCAATGACTAGAATTTCTTCTATTCGAGTTTTAATTGCCTTAGCTTCAATCCGTAAGCTTTTTATCCACCAAATGGATGTGAAAACTGCTTTTCTAAATGATTTAGAATAAGAGATTTATATGGTTCAACCTGAAGGCTGTGTCATTCCTGGACAAGAAAATAAAGTTTGTAGATTAATTAATCTCTTTATGGCCTTAAACAAGCTCCTAAGCAATGGTATGAGAAATTTGAACAAGTCTTACTGAGAGACGATTTTTCTTCAGTTGAGGTGGATAAATGTGTTTATACTAAAGTAGTAGACAATGATTATGTGATAATATGTCTATATGTTGATGACATGCTTATATTTGGTACAAGTTTAAATATTGTGCAAAGTACTAATTTATTTTTTGTCTTCTAATTTTGATATGAAAGATCTGGGTGAAGTAAATATGATATTGGGAGTTAAAGTTGTAAGGAGTGAAGATTGCATAATGTTGTCACAAGAATATTATGTTGAGAGACTTCTTAAGAAGTTTGAATTTTTTAATGTCACATCTGTGAGCACTCCTTTTGATGCTAACTCTAAGTTGAAAAAGAATAATGGTGACCCAGTTGCTCAGTCTAAATATGCTTAGATTATTGGGAGTCTGATGCATTTAATGAATTTTACAAGGCCTGACATAGCCTATGCAGTGTGTAGACTGAGTAGATATACTCATAATCCCAACAGAGAGCATTGGTCTGCATTAGATAGACTAATGAAATATTAGAGAGGAACCATGAATAATAGTATCCTATATAGTGGATTTCCTTCTACTTTAGAAGGGTACAGTGATGCAAACTGGATCTCTGATTCAGATGAGACAAAATCCACTAGTGGTTATGTATTCACCCTTGGTGGTGGTGCAATATCTTGGAAATCAGCTAAACAGACGATCATTGCTAGATCGACTATGGAATCAGAGTTTGTAGCTCTAGAGTTAGCTGGTTCTGAGGCTGAGTGGCTAAGAAACTTCTTAGCTAATATCCCTTTAATAAAGGACGTATTGCCTCCTATGTCTATACATTGTGATTGCCAAGCGGCAATGGCTATAGAAAAGAATAAATCTTATAATTGTAAAAGTAGACACATGAAATTGAGACATGATGTCATAAAGCAGCTGCTGAGAGATGGAATAATTTCCATTGATTATGTGAAGTCAGAAGTTAATTTGGCCGATCCTCTGACTAAACCCGCGGGAAGAAAATTAATTCTTCAAACCTCAAAACAGATGGGGTTAAGGCCGACATGTTGTCAATAGAGATGATAACCCAACCTATGTGATTGGAGATCCCATGATTTCTGTATCCTCTAAATAAATAGAGATGGGCTTGTTTAATCCTGGGGAAATATTTCACATTGCTGAAATAGTTTCTTAGGACAGTGCCTAGCACGACTCAAGCCAATTCGTGTGTATGCTTACAAATAATATTATTGCGGTATTATTATTGTTATTTTTCGGTATCATTTCCCTACAGCCACTCCTTCCTCCATGTCCCTCTAGAAGCTTCTCTTCTTCCCCCTTTTCTCACACTATATAAGGACCATATTTTGTCTACATTATCCACAATTCAGTTCATTCTCAGAAGCATTCCAAATTTAGAAATCAGAAATTCCAAAATATCATCAAAATTTAATCAAAATGGATATCAGACTGATGGGATTAGAAAATCCACTCTTTCACACTCTCCACCACATGATGGATCTCCATGCGGATGTAAGTACATTCTAATCGATAAGTCTCTTGTATTACAAATTATAGCATTTTCATTTATTATTTGTATTTACTACTTCGTGTTTGATTAATAAGTACCTTACTGTTAGACAACAACGACGACGACGACGACGACGACCCAGTAAAATCCCACAAGTGGGGTCTGGGGAGGGCAGTGTGTGTACGCAGAATTTACCTCTACCCCAAGGGGTAGAGAGGTTGTTTCCGATAAACCTCGGCTCAAGAAGACGAAAAGAGACAAGTACCTTACTGTTAGAATTGATATATTTTATGATTCAAAATTTCGAATCTTTAGTAATGTATCATACACAAGAGTTTAAGGTTCGACCCAATAAGTATCTTGTTTAGAAGAAAAAAAATTGTGGTTCTTGAATCTCTAATATTCTCTTCTATTTATTATTTGCCTCTATGATCTAGGATTCAGACAAGTAGAATAACGTCCCGTCGAGGAATTACCTGCGCGACGCTAAGGCCATGGCAGCGACAAAATCCCACAAGTGGGGTCTGGGGAGGGTAGTGTGTACGCAGAATTTATCTCTGCCCCAAGGGGTAGAGAGGCTGTTTCCGATAAACCCTCGGCTCAAGAAGACGAAAAGAAACAAGTACCTTACTGTTAGAATTGATATATTTTGTGATTCAAAATTTCGAATCTTTAGTAATGTATCATATACAAGAGTTTAAGGTACGATCCAATAAGTATCTTGTTTAGAAGAAAAAAAATTATGGTTCTTGAATCTCTAATATTCTCTTCTATTTATTATTTGCCTCAATGATCTAGGATTCAGACAAGTCGAATAACGTCCCATCGAGGAATTACCTGCGCGACGCTAAGGCCATGGCAGCGACACCAGCGGACATTAAGGAATACAAAAACTCGTACGTCTTCATAGTGGACATGCCTGGTTTGAAGTCAAGCGACATCAAAGTGCAATTAGAGGATGGCAATGTGCTTATAATTAGTGGGGAGAGCAAAAGAGAAGAAGAAAAAGAAGGGGCGAAATATGTTAGAATGGAAAGAAGAGTAGGGAAATTCATGAGGAAATTTTTGTTGCCTGAAAATGCAAATACAGATGCCATTTCTGCAGTTTGTCAAGATGGTGTATTGACTGTGACGGTAGAAAAGTTGCCTCCACCTGAGCCAAAGAAGCCCAAAACTGTTGAAGCTAAAGTTGCTTGAAGTGATGGGAGGGAAAATAGGAGTGTTCTGTTTATGATTTTGGAATATAATATGCAATATTTTATTGTCCCCAGTTTTGTTTGTTTTCCTCATGGAGATTGTTGGCTAGTATGGCGTAATTATCTCTCATCTAGCTTGGATAATGTACTTAGTGATGTTTGTTTCCAATGCTCTAAATCTGGTTTGGTTCTCTTAGTTTTGATGATCAATGTTGTTTTATCTCTGTCTCTTTTTCTGTTAGAGTATCCTTTTTTTGATGGTCTAAACAGATCATTTAGAATAATCCTGATGTGCATTTTCACCAACATCAATATCATCATCAGTTTGGACTTTTATATTGCCATAGATCACATGACCACTAAGCAGCAATTGGACACATGGAGGAGGAACAACATAGTGCTCTTTTTTATTCTTTTAGCTTTTCTTATATTCTAAGTGTTTGTTTGAATTTCATAGTCATAATTTTAGAGTTAGTTGTAAATATTAAACTTTTGTTTCGATATTATTTTAAGTTCATTAAATTCACACACTCTTGGACATTCTAGCACATGTAACACTCCTCGTAGGATCGATCCTAATTTTTGTTAGGCTTATTATTGGAAAGGTTACACAGTATGGCCATTTTAAAAAATAATAGCCAGTAAAATTTATATTTTTTGTATATTAATTTATAAAATACATCATACATATATATATATATATATATATATATATATGATATATATATATATGATATATATATATATATGTATGATATTTTGTTTAGTTGGTTAGCGGATGTAATTATTTGTGGACGGCAAGCTAGCTAAATATGCAATTGACCTATATTATTGTTGTGACCTTAAATTCAATATTCGTTGTACCCATTTCTATGTGCCAAAAAACAGTCTCAGCGTTGTTCTATGAAAAATTAAGATCATAGTGAACAAAAGAAGTCCATTTCATAAATTGTATTCATCTCTGATATTATCTGAAAAAGAGATTACTATAAATATTGTATAGCAATGGTGATTGCTTGAAAGGTTTATGCTCAATGGTGTTGAAGAAAACCAATGGCAAAATTAACATCAATGAAAACAATTAACAATACGATGGAATCCTTCCTATCGATCGTTGGTAAACAAAGTCATAATCCTAATAGATCAGAGTTCGGGTTGAATAAATATAGAATCTAAGTTTAAGTTACCTTCTACAACTATTTTTCTTATTTATAATTTGAATATTGAAATAAGTAAAAATAATAGAAACTTGCCGGTAATGCCTTTAGAATTGCCTAGTTGTGTAAAAGATTATTCCTATTGTCGGTGAAATTAATTAAACTCCTATAAGTTCAATACAATCTTTTGTAGAAGAAAAACCCGAGCTTCTCTTTCCACTTAAACCCAAAGACCTCTACCTCAAAAAATGGTTGTCACTAATATTATTAGAAGGACATCTTCCCAAGTTGTACCGTCGACTCTTCGAGTGTGTTGAGTATTGAAGTTTTGATGATTAACAAAGCATGACTAAATGTTCAAAGAACCAGGTCCTCAACGTAGCTGCTTAACTATTCTGAAGAATCAGCTCCTCAGGAAAAAGAATCAGCTCCTCATGATTGATACTTGTACGTATGTACAAGACAATAACTTTATCTCAAAGTTACCCAGGTCCGAGTTTGGTGGAAGATGGCTAATATAAGTGATAAGGGTCTATCACGACCTCAAACTAAACCCGGTCGTGATGGCGCCTATCATGGAACTAGGCAAGCCGACACACTCCCAACCAATTCGATATTTCATTAAAAGATAGATAAAAGCCTTTTTCATACAGAAATTTCATAAAAAGAGTTTTACTCAAAAACAAAATGCGGAAATAAATAGCTCGACATCGGGGTGTCACTAAATCATGAGCAACTACTACAACGGTTCTGAAATATAGCAAGACTAAAATATTCTGAGAGTAGCCAAAATACACTAAAGGGAAGATAAAGAAGGAGAAAAGCAGGACTGTGATCGCCAGGCAACTACCTCGCTATCTCCGATGAAAGTCTACAGCTGAAATAATCAACAGCCTCTACCGTGGCCAGAGATACCTGGATCTGCACACAAGGTGCAGGGGGTAACGTGAGTACACCAACTCAGTAAGTAACAAGTCCAAACTATGGACTGATAGATAGTGACGATCTTAACCTCATCAGGCAATAGAAATAAACTGTGCAGGAAAAGTAGGCATGTATCAGTTCAAGTATACAGCTCAAGCAGTAAAATAAGTACAGACCGGAACAATATGAGATACAAAGCTCAGCTAACTGTACATGCCAATGCACAGAATGTATGAAATGCACCATGTGCTCCCACTCTCAAGTGCTCAACCACTCTGTACTGCATATGGCCATCCGACCCAGGGAAATCCATCCTGGAACATATACAACACTGACTGCAAGTCAACCAGTACCGAGGAAGAAGGGTAATCCAACCCTGAGGAGAAATCCATCTCCAGGTATATATATACACACTCAACCACTCGATACCGCATATGGCCATCCGGCCCAGGGAAATCCATCCCGGAACATGCTCATCATTGACAATAAGTCACTCGGTACCGAGGAAAAGGGTAATCCAACCCTGTGGACAAATACATCTCCAGATATCAATACTTCGGACAAATCCATGTCCAGGAAAATCCATCCCTCAATAATATCATTTGCGCTCACTAGGGGTGTGTTACAGACTCCGGAGGGGCTCCTACAGCCCAAGCGCTATCATAATCATCAACATAACCGCTGCGGCGTGCAACCCGATCCCATAACTCTCACTCATAATCAGGCTCCCGGCCTTACTCAGTCATCACTCTCCAGTCTCACACACGGGCTCACTATGACATGAAACTTGCTTGGAACAATGATATGATGTGCCAAATGATAACAACTGAGACTGAGACATGATATGGTATGCATGAATAAGACTGAGTGCAGAATATCAATGAAACTAATGAAATGACAGCAATAAACGACCACTCGGGTCTCAACAATATTGGCTTGAAGCCCTAACATGATATTTAGCATGATTTACAGCTCATTTACTTAATCACATGATAGAAACACGGGTATCAGCAAGAAAGAGTCACTAAGCGGTGCCATGGAATGAACCAGGCCACAATTCTCACGATGCACGCCCGCACGCCCGTCACTTGGCATGTGCGTCACCTGAATTCTAGTCACATAACACATAGTTCCGGGTTTCGAACCCTCAGAACCAAGTTTGGCAGCGCTACTTACCTCAATCAAGCCAAAATCCTACTACGCGACGCCTTTGCCACTCGAACCGGCCTCCAAACGTCTCGAATCTATCCAAAAGCAATACAATGCAATCAACACGAGCTAGAAGAATCAATCCCATAAGAAAATGCTAAGTTTTAGGTCAAAATCCAAAAAGTCAACTCAAAAGTCGGGCCCCAGGCCCACGTCTCGAAATCCGACAATAGTCGCAAAATTCGATAACCCATTCGATTATGAGACTAACCATACTAGTTTCACCCAAATCCGACTTCAAAACGACTTTCAAATCCCAAAAGTTCATTTTATGAAACTCCACCATATTTCCCCAAATTCCGTCCCAAATCACGAATCGAATAGAATCACTTACCCCGATGAATTTCTTGAAAACCCCCCAAAAAATCGCCTAAAACCGAGCTCCCAAAGTTCAAGATGTGAAATAAAACCCTAAACCTCGCATATATAGTGCTCTCTGAACCTTCACTGTGCGGTCTGTGAAATTCTGCTGCGGTTGCGGGTCCTGAGCCCTTTCCATTCCGTGGTCCGCATAAAACTCACTGCGGCCGCACACCCCTCACCGCGGTTCTCACAATTTTGTCGCGGCCGCATAACACCTCCGCGGTCCGCATAATTTCCTAAGCGGCCGCACAACACCTCTACGGTCCGCACCAATTTTGTGCGGTCTGCACTTCCAAGACCAGAGACCAGAGATCTACCAACTTCCAAAACCAACTAATGATCCGATAACCACCCGAAACTCACCTGAGGCCCTCGGGACCTCAACCAAACATACCAACACATCCCATAACATCATTCAAACTTATTCGAACCTTCGGATCATCCAAAACAACATTAAAACACCAAATCACCCTCAGATTCAAGCCTAAGAACTTCTAACTTCCAATTTCCGCAATTGACGCCGAAACTTATCAAATTACGTCCGAATGACCTAAAATTTTGCACACAAGTCAAGTATGACACCGTGAACCTATTCCAACTTCCGAAATTCCATTCCGACCCCGATATCAAACTTTCCACTGCCGACCCAAATCGCAAAATTTTCAACTTTCGCCAATTCGAGCCTAATTCTACCACGGACCTCCAAATCACATTCCGGACGTGCTCCCAAGCCAAAATCACCTAACGGAGCTAATGGAAACATCAGAATACACATACGAGATCATTTACACATAAGTCAACATCCAGTTGACTTTTCCAAACTTAGGCCTTCTCCCAAGTAGCCTCCTCCATGGGCCAACCTCTCCACTGTACTTTCACTGAAGCTATATCCTTTGATCTCAACTTTCGGACCCGCCGCTCCAAAATAGCTATCGGCTCCACATCATAAGTCAAATCACCATCTAACTGAACCGTGCTGAAATCCAAGACATGAGACGGATCGCCGATATACTTCCGGAGCATAGAAACATGAAATACTGGATGCACCCCCCACAAGCTAGGTGGCAAAGCAATCCCATAAGCCACATCCCCAATCCTCCGAAGCACCTCTAAAGGCCCAATGAACCGAGGGCTCAGCTTGCCCTTCTTCCCAAATCTCATAACACCCTTCATAGGTGAAACCTTCAGTAGAACTTTTTCCCCAACCATGTAAGACAGATCACGAACCTTTCTGTCAGCATAACTCTTTTGTCTTGACTGCGCTGTACGAAGCCGCTCCTGAATCACCTTCACCTTGTTCAATGAATTTCGAACCATGTCTGTACCCAAAAGCCTAGCCTCGCCCAGCTCAAACCAACCTACTGGAGATCTACACCGTCTCCCTTATAAAGCCTCATATGAAGCCATCTGAATACTCGACTGATAACTGTTGTTGTAAGCAAAC